GGTGCCGGGCTTTGCCAGGCCAGCCAGTGCCTGGCAGAGGCTGTGGGGTGATGTGGCAGCAGGGGCTTTGATTTTGACCCCGTGTGGCCCCTCCGGGGAGACTGAGCTGTTGGGAGCTGCCCCGGGCTGTGCGTGGGCTTGTGGTGGTGCCGCTGGGCTGAGGCCGTGCTCTGCCCCGCAGCCGGGCAGGGCTGTGTGTTGGGGCAGGAGGACAGCAGGAGGAGAGGTCAGTTTTCCTGCCTTTCCCTTCCTGCCTGTCCCTGGGCCTTGATTGCCACAGACTGACTCTGTCTCCTCCTTTCTCTCCTGCTGCGCTCAGTGGAGGATCGTGAGGATGTGTTTGTTAAAAAGCCCAGGTAAGGGGAGCGTGCACCATGGCAGCAGCAGGAGCTATGGGGCTGCATGTCCCGGGCAGGACCCGCTGGGCATTGTTGGCACCGAGCTGGGGATGTCGAGCTGCGCTGTGGTGTCCAGGACACAGTGCGTCAGGGGCAGCTGGTGGCACTGGCAAAACCTTGCTGGGGGTGTTGTGATGTTTGGGCAGTGCCTGGACGTGGGGCACAATGTCCCCTGAGCCTGGCGTGGGGCTGCGGGGCGGCCAGGCAGAGCTGGGTGAGTGTTGCCACTTCTTGCTGCGTGAGGGCAGGGAAGGGAGCTGGGGCTGGGGGGGTGCCATTCCTTGCCCCATGCAGCTGGGCAGGGGTAGTGCACAGCACCCCTTTTTCTGCCTTCGCCTCTCCATGATGCCTCCTGTCCTGGCACCGTGACCGTTGGGTCCCAGCTCTGCCCGGTTTGCTCTGCCGCAAATAAATGCTCCTGGTTTTGTAGCCGTCTCCTTCTTGTCTTTGCCCTGGTGAGGCAGAGAGCTACCAGCTCTCCCTCTGTCCCTGTCTCCTCTCTTGGGTGGGCTGTGCCCCTCTTGCCCTGGCTTGCCCTGCCTGCTCCCAAGCCCAGTGCTGGCAGCCTGCTGGGGGGCACAGGCCTTGCCCCTCCCAGGACCAGCCTGGCCCTGCCTAGCTGGCGGGGATGGCAGAGTCCTGCCTATCCCCAGCTCTGCTGGAGCTGGACCCCAGGGCTCCCCACGCTGGGTCAGGTCCAAGCCCCTCTGCACCCCAGTGAGGCTGCGGGTGACCGTCATGTGTGAGCAGGCAGCCGGGGTCTATGTGGTCCTCAGGGTCCCTGGTCAGTCTGGAGCAGCCCAGAGTTGGGTGTGGGACCCCAGCAGACCTGCACTCCCTCCCGCTGCTCACCAGACCGCCACGATGGGTGCCAGAGACCCCAGAGGTGCTGTGTCTTTGCAGGGCTGAAGGCGCTTGGCTCAGTACCCCATCACCAAACCAGCTACCGGCTGGGCACGGGGGCTTGGCCGGCTCCTGCCTGCTTGTTGGGGGGGGGTGGCCCTGCCTGCACACAGGCCTGCTGGGCAGAGGGGGTGAGCGGGGCAGGCTGGATTAACTGCTTGTTCTGTAGCCAGGTCTCCGTGCTGGACCCGTCCCCGGGAGCAGCGATGAAGTCGGAGCCAGGACTGGGTGAGCAAAACGTTTCCTCTGGGCTTGGGGGGAGAGGGGTGGGGGTGCTGAGGGATGCTGCTTGCCCAGCCACGGGCACTGGGAGGGGGCTGCCGAGGGATCAGGAGCACCGTCCTGGAGAACTTATGTGTGTATGCAGCCCCCAGGACCCCCGCCGCCACCCCTGGCCCTGCCAGCCGCCCGCCCTGGGCCGTGGACCCCTTGTTCGCTGAGCGCTATGCCCCGGACAAGACAAGCACGGTGGTGAGCAAGCACAGCCAGCCAGCCACGCCGACCCCCATGCAGAACCGCAGCTCCATTGTGCAGGCGGCGCAGCAGGCCCCTGAAGGGCCCGGCCGCACACCCCTCTGCTACAAGTGCAACAAGGTCATCAGGTGAGCCCTGGCCACCACTGCTGCCACGCCAGCGTCCTGGGCCCTAGCGTGGCTGACGGGGCTCTGTCCTGCTGCAGGGGACGCTACCTGGTGGCGCTGGGACATTATTACCACCCCGAGGAGTTCACCTGCTGCCAGTGCAGGAAGGTGCTGGATGAGGGCGGCTTCTTTGAGGAGAAAGGCTCCATCTTCTGCCCCAAGTGCTATGACACGCGCTACGCGCCCAGCTGTGCCAAGTGCAAGAAGAAGATCACCGGGGTGAGTGTCCCTCAGCCTGCCCCACACCTCCTGTCCCTGCTCCCCTACAGGTCCCCAGCTCTGTCCCCTCCCGTCCTGATCGCATCCCCAGGGATCCCTTGTCCCTTTCTGCCCTGGGAGGGGGTTTGCCACAGCACAGGGTGGTCCTGCCCCCGGCTGACAGCAATTCCCCTCCAGGAGGTCATGCATGCGCTGAAGATGACCTGGCATGTGCAGTGCTTCACCTGTGCTGCCTGCAAAACTCCGATCCGCAACCGTGCCTTCTACATGGAGGAGGGACAACCCTACTGTGAGAGAGGTAGGACCCGGGGACGCCATGTGCCACTGCACGTGGCCCCAGGGCACCGGGCACTGTTGGGGCTCAGCACCTGCCCACGGGGGTGGGGGGTGAGCTGCCCTGTGCTGCGGGGGCTCTCCCCAGGCCATGGGGAAAGCAGGGACTCCCCTCCCGGGGCCCTGAGCCCTCCATCCCGGTCCTCCTTGGCTGCTGGGTAGTGCCATCACTCCTGTGTTGCCATGGTGATGATGGAGGATGTACAGCAAAGGCAAGTGCTGCATCCTGGGAGATCAGGTTTGCCTCCTCCCTGCAGCCCAGTGGTGGCCAGGGCCACCCTGCAGGGCACAGGCATCTCATCTGGGTGTCTCAGGCATCGTCCCCCCGGGGCTGGCAGTGAATTGTTCCCAGGCTGTGCCTGTGGGATCCTGGCTGTGCTGCAGCCCTGCTCCCCTGGGACGAGGGGCTGCAGTGTGGGGGAACGCTGACCTGGGCTCGGCCTCTCCTCGCAGACTACGAGAAGATGTTTGGCACCAAGTGCCGCGGCTGTGACTTCAAGATTGACGCTGGGGACCGGTTCCTGGAGGCGCTGGGGTTCAGCTGGCACGACACTTGCTTCGTTTGTGCGGTGAGCCATGTGCCTCCCTCCCCGGCTGCTGGTGGGGGCCTTGGCTCTCCCTGGCAGTTGTGCCCTGTGTGGGGTACACCAGCAGCGTGGGGTCCCTGCTGCCACGAGGTTTTCCCAGCTTGGCTCTGCACTGGTGGCTTGGGCCCCTGCTCTGAGCCTGCTGCTCCCTGGCATCTGTGCGATGCTGGTGCTGAGCCCTGGAGGGGGGGGGCGGGGGCGGACCCAGGGGCTGGCTCAGCCCCCCTGACTTGACTGCCTGTGCTCTCCTCCCCAGATCTGCCAGACCAACCTGGAAGGGAAGACGTTCTACTCCAAGAAGGACAAGCCGCTCTGCAAGAGCCACGCTTTCTCCCACGTGTGAGGGGCGGGAGTTCAGCTGTGCCCACGCGTGCCCCTGGCCCTGCATGCTCCTCTCCCCCTTCCCCCACTGCCCCCACAGAGCCAGACTGGGCCCTCACCCCTTCCCCTTGCTCCTGCCTCTTTCCTGGCAGGTCCTGGCCCAGCTCCAGCTGGAGGTGGTGCTGGGCCCGGAGCCCCTTATAGCTGGGTGGCTTCTTCTGTGTCCCCCGGGGGGCCCTAGGAGCCCCAGGAAGGGGATGCTGCATGGGTCTCCTGCCCCCCAGCCACACAGTGTGGTGGCCACGGCCGTGCCGAGGCTGTGCTGAGGCTGGAGTCGGGGAGCATCTGGCACAGCAGGGCTGCACCCTCGGCTGAGGCCCGGCTGCCTGGCAGCTCAGCACCAGGGCAGGGATGCTCCTAGCACATCCCTGAGTGGGTGAGGACCAACCCCCCAGCTCCCTGCCAAGCTCTCCCCCACCTTCCCCGCTGCATGCTTAGTGCACGGGGCTGGAGACCCGGCCCTGCTCCCCTGCTGGGGCCCTGCCCGCAGCAACCCCCCGGCCACCCTGCAAACTGCTGCGGTGGCTTCCTACCCCGGCTGCGTGCCAGGGGGGTCTGTGCCTCATGTCCCCCCACCCAGCTGGCCTGCTGCTCTCCTGGGGCTGGTGTGCGGCAGCACCCCCAGCCCGGCCGTGCCGGGAAGCAGGGCAGCGTGCCAAGCCCATCCCAGCCACGGGCCGGCAGTGTGTGCTGATGGCCGGCCGGCCGGCGGGCTCCCGCAAGGCTTGGGAACGGCTTCCTACCAAAGAGCGCCTGCCACCACTGTCCCAGGCCCGTAAATGCCTCTCCCAAACCCACACTCTCCGGTCGGACTGCCGCTGATATAGCCACGGTGCTTTTAGTGCCTTTAATAAACACTTCTCTGCAAGTGCCGGCTGTCTTGGGGCCTGTGGTTTTGCCAAGTGAGGTGTGGCCAGCTGGGAAGGTCACACTCGGCCCTCGCCCCACTCCCCCCGGGGCCTGACTCAGCTCCCTGCAGCTTTCCAGGGGAAATCTTCACCTCGGATTTCCCCTCCTCTGCCTGTGTCGGCCTGGGCTGGACCCCTCATGTCACCTGGGTCATCCCTCTCTCTTCGTAGCAGGCAGGACCGCTAACAGAGGTGGTAATTAATCTGGGGGGCAAAGCTGCAGCAAGGGGAAATGGGGCAGATGTCCAACCCTGCAGGGGGGGTCCCTGCTTACCCAGTGGTGTCCCCTGGTCCCTGCTGTGCCCTGGCCCCGAGTCCTGCGCAGAGGATGAGAAGTCATGGGGCACGCGTGGGGCACGTGCACTGGCTCTGGGTGTGCTCCGGCATAGAGCAGCCAAGCATTCGCTCATGCGATGCAGCTGCTGTCCCAAAGGACGGGTGCGAGGCTGCGCCGGCACCTCCGGCTGGAACGGGCTTGGGGGCAGCGGGTGTGGGGAAGAGCCGCTCCTCCCGCTCCGCTCTGGCAGCTGGAATGGTCATTAATAATTGCAGCTCTTACCACGATGAGCAATTGTAAGGAAAATTGTCTTGCTGATCTACTGGAAGGTTCTGCCGGGGGCAGGAGCTGGCTGCAGGAAGGCAAATACCTCCCGGCATCACCCAGAGTTGGCCTGCGGCTGCGGCGCCACATCTCCCCGGTGCCAGCTGCAAGAGTGCAAAACCCTGTCAAAGATGGGGAGGGGAAAGTGGGAGTGATGGAGGCAGGCTGGGGCCGGGCCGGGTGCTCGGGCTGGGGCACATGCAGGCGATGGGACGGTCACACTGAGGAGCAGCAGGACACGGCTGTGAAAAGGGACAGAAATGAGCTGCAAAAAGGGCCAGGACGAGCAGGGATGTGGTAAGTGCCCGAGCGTGAGTCCCAGCTGCGCAGCCAAGGTCAGGGGAAGCACAGGGGAAGGTGAGGCAACTGCGGCCCCATGTGAGCAGCCACCGAGCCAGCCCTGGCTCAGCCAGGACAGCAACCCATGAGTGGAGGGCAGGGAAGGGGCAGGGGGAGGCAGCCGTGCGGGACGGAGCCTGCTGGAGTAGCACAGCCTGGAAACAGGTTGTGCCAGCTCAGCCCCCGGGGTACCTGGCCTTGGAGCAGGGCCAGGGCAGAGCTGCGCTGCCACAGCCAGCCTACCTCTCCCCAGGGGAGAGCCAAGCATCTCCCTTGTGCTGCTTGCAAGGCCTGCTCCCACTGGGGGCTCAGCCCCTTCTGGTTGGCGCCCTGTTGCCTCGGGTCCCTACTGATGATGCCTCTACCACCCAAGGTGCCTCTGCGCTTTGCCGAGAGCCGCTTTTGCCCACCAGCTCTGCGCACCATGCGAGGAGCTTGTGCACAGGCAGCAGAAGGAGGGTCTCGGGTGGGCTGCGGAGGTGGAGCCTGGGGAGGGGCCACAACCGCACTGCTCGGAGAACAAAGCCTGGCAGCGGCGGACTCGGGTATGGGAGGAGCTTGTGCACAGGCAGCGGAAGGAGGGTCTCGGGTGGGCTGCGGAGGTGGAGCCTGGGGAGGGGCCACAACCGCACTGCTCGGAGAACAAAGCCTGGCAGCGGCGGACTCGGGGCTCCCACCATGTCCCCAAGCGGGGTCCCAGCACATCCACCCCCAAAGCCAGCTGAGCCGTTTGTGGGGTGCCTGCCACAGCCCCGGCCCCCGCGCTGGCCCCGGCAGCTGCTCCACAGCTGCTCACAAACTTGCAGCCTCTTAGGGCGGCTCCAGCTCTGGCCTGGCTCGGAAATGCTGGTGCAAGGAGGGCGTGCAGGCGTGGGGGGAGCAGGAAGCACAGGCAGGGTCCGCGGCACCCTGTCCCATGTCCCACTGAGCTTGGGGGGCTCATCCACAAGCTGCTTTGAAGGGCTTGGTTCGGGAAGGGCCACGCTGGCATCAGCCCCAACCTGTGGGGATCAGGCCCTGTACGCTCCCCATTGCCGCTCCGGCATGGAGACCCCTTCAGCATGGTTCTGGTCCGGGATGCAGGCAGTGCCAGGAGTTGGGGGGGAACGGGGGGGCAGGGCGACACTGCCTGCCCTGGCAGGAGCACGCAGACCCAGCTGGGAGCCCCTGCAAAGCCCTGCATGGGTCAGTGCAAAAGCAACTTTGTGGGTTCACACAGAGGCAAAACCTCCCTGAAAAGGCGCTGTCATGCACAGCCTGGCAGGGTCTCGAGGGGACCGGGGGGTTTGGGAGCGGCGAGGATGGAGGGGCAGGCGGGCAGCAAAGGGGCACCCACAAAGACTGTGCCCACCGACACCTAGAGCAGCAGCGAGGGCATGGCTGGGTGTGTGGGACAAAGCCAATGGTGCCACGTCCTTGGAGACGAAACCTCAGGGCACAGGGTCTCAGGGCGGAGGGGACTGCCTGAGGGCACCCTGGCGTGCCATGTCCTCAGGGTGGAGGGGATATGGGGCAGGGGAAGGTTTGGGATGCAGAGAAGCACCCAGCATGCGAGGTCCCCAGGGTGCAGGGTCCCCAGGAGGGGGTAGCACAGGATGCCGGTCCCCAGGGCAGAGGAGAGCCCAGGGTGCAGAACCACACGGGCTGCAGTTTCCCAGGAGGGAGCTGAGCCGGGGTGCAGGTTTCCGGGGTTCAGGGTTCCTGGGGCGGGGGATGGCCCGGGGTGCGGTGTTGTGGAGGCAGAGCAGAGCTCAGGCTGAGGGTCCTCGGGGTGCAGGATCCCGGGGGCG